CGAAACACTGCCCGGTCCTGGGCCAACCTCACTATTGTTGCCATGCTTGAGTCCATCGATGCTGCCACCTGGCCAATCCATCTTGTTGGGGGTCTTCCTCTTTTTCTTTGACCCTCCACCCTACCAAACATGATATCCTTCTCCAGTGACTGGTCCCTCCTGACAGTATGTCTAAAGTATGAGAGACGAAGTTTGGCCATCCTGGCCTCCAAGGAGCACTCTGTTGGTTCTTTTAGCAGCCCATGGCACTTTGAATATTCTCCTCCAACACCATAACTCAAATACGTCAATTCTTCTACAGTCTTCATTATTTACTGTCCAGCTTTCACATGCATATGAGGTTATTGAAAACACCATGGTGTGGGTCAGATGCACGTTAGTCCTCAAGCTGACATCTTTGCTCTTCAACACTTTAAAAAGGTCTTGTGCAGCAGATTTGCCTAATGCAATACGTCGTTTGATTTCTTGACTGCTGCTTCCATTGAGTGTTGATAGTTGATTCAAGAAGAATGAAGTCCTTGACAACATCAATCTTTTCTCCATTGATAAGAACATTGTTTATTGGTCCAGTGGTGATGATTTTTGTTTTCTTTACATTGAGATGTAATCCATACTGAAGGCTGTGCTGTTTGATCTTCATCAGTAAATGTTTTAAGTCCTCTTCACTTTCAGCAAGCAAGGTTGTATCATCTGCATATCGCAGGTTGTTAATGAGTCTTCCTCCAATCCTGATGCCACATTTTTCTTCACAGAACCCAGCTTCTCGTATTATTTGCTCAGCATACAGGTTGAATAAGTATGGTGAAAGAATACAACGTTGTCAATAAATGTTTACCTATGCTTTATCGACTACGCAAAGGCTTTTAATTGTGTAGATCATGACAAGTTATGGACAACATTACAAAGTATGAGTATTCCTGAACACTTTATTGTGCTCAAAAGGAATGTGTACATGGACCAAGAGGCAGTTGTTCGAACAGAACATGGGAACACTGACTGGTTTGGAATTAAGAAAGTTGTGTGACTCCTCCCTAGGCACTAGAATAACACAAACCAGCGTTCCTCTGTGAAAGGGAACATGGGAACAAGGTGGACATCAGGCAATAACAATCATTATAAGAACAATCACAAAAGATCAAAGCTTGGACTTGAATAAAATGGTCCCAGCCGTTCTATTAACTAGCTCTGGACCTTGTCATGCCCCATCACAGTCTCTGATACTCAGCTTCCTGGTAGGTACAATGGAAATACTTATAATCATGCAATAATCCATGGATAATAATAATCCATTTAACATAGGTCCTGGCCCACAATAACCCACCAGGGACAGTAAGCTATTAACATTTAAACCTGTAGGGTTTTCCATAACAATTAGTTTACCAAGCAAGCCAAAAATAGTCTCTTGTCAGACGGTGAACCTTGATTTTTTTTTTTCAATCTAAGAGAAACCAGTCCCATAAGGTAAATGTTTGGTAAAACCTTGTTGAGTTAACCTCCAGGGAAGTGACCGTCTATCTAGGAAGCACACTGGCTTATATGCAGTTCCCCTCTTGGCTACATAATTGACATAGGAGAGATAAATGATCTTTGGGGCCCAGATTGCAGGGTCTCAAGTCTAAGTGGTTAAAGGGATACCCCAAGTGAGACACACAGCAGGCAGTTCAGCCCTTGCTGGTACAGGATCCAGTGCCAAAACGAAAATCTCACTCCCAAGAGCAGTTTTACACATGAAAAAACAAATCTTGGTAGCTGGTAGGAACGTCTACAGGGGGCCTGCGTCAGTTTTACAGATGGAAAACTCAGCTTAGAGTGTGGAAATAACTTACCCAAAGTCAGTTCCAGAAGCGCACAAGGGGATCCTCACTGTGAGAGCAGAGTGTGCACTACTCTCCAGAATGAGAAAGTGACATGATCATTTTGGAATATTTCCAGGGAACTGGCAGTGGGGGGTGGGGAGTGGGGGTGGACAGACACACATGTGACCCCATATCTGTTAGGGCACGTGTGCAGGAGGTGACTCGTCTCCTGTGGCAGCTGGAGTCACCTTGGCCTGCTGGATTCGGGGGGTCATCCAGGTGTCCTGGCACACCAGTAACCTAGAAGCTCTGGCAAGCCAGGAAGACAGGAGTCATCTCATGTCCTAGGGTCTCAAAGGCCTCCTTTATTCACATAGGGCAGTTTGTGTCAGCAAGGGCTGCTGCTCTTGCTGAATAAAAAGAGAAAAGGAGGTGTGGAGAACTTCCTCAGGGCTATTAACTTTTCTTGTGTTCCTCGTCACCCCCACCTGGATTATCCCTACACTTAGAAAGTTAAGTGTGGAGCTGAGAGTGGCAAGCCACACATGTTGACCTGTTAGCACGTAATGGAGGCATTCTCCAGGAGAATAGATGATTCGTGGAGAAGCGAGACTGAACGTTTTTAACCAGTACATTTCTTGATTGTATCAGTTACCCTCAGCTCCTTACTGCACACCCTGAGGTAGAGCATGGGATATAAGTTGTCTCAGAGTCTCCACGTTCATCATTTCTCCTCTGAGATATCCAACTCATATCTCAGGGAGTCCTGGTTTGGTGCTCCAGGTTAAATCACTGAACTGCAAGGTCAGTTTGAACTGCAAGGTTGGTGGTTCAAACCCACTAGCCACTCCTCAGAAACCCTATACAGAACTGACTCAACAGCACTTAACAACACTTCATACTTTGGAGTCCTGGTGTAGCTCTGTCGGATCAGTACTGGACTGCTAACCACAAGACTAGTGGTACAAACACACCAGCCATTATTTGAAAACCTTATACAGGGTTGCTATGAATCAGAACTGACTTGATGGCACCTAACAACTAACAACTTTCAGGAACAGATTAAAAGTTGCCCCCTTTGAGAAGTCCTCCTGGACTCCACCCAGGCTCTGTACTCCTAATACCCTCAACTTTCATCCATTACAACATCCATTATAGATGCTGTTAATTGTGTTGTTTGTTGCCCACACCAAACCCCATGAACAGGAACTGTGCATCCATCCTGTTCTCCAGCCTCCAGCAGCTGACCCAAAACACAGTAGGTCCTTCAGAAGATAAGGAACCCAATAACTTCTGGGGAGTGGAGGAATGAGGACTTGTGGGACTTCTTGGATAACTTTCTTACCTCTCATACCCATGGACTCATCTCTAAGTTGGGACATTGTAGTTGTTTGTATAGGGTTTCAAAGTGGCTAGTGTGCTTGAACCACCGACCCTGCAGTTCAAACCAACTTTGTAGTCCAACAAACTAACCCACAGCACCACACCAGGATTCCTAATAGGGATACAATGTAGGTGGTACAGAGACTGATGTGGTATAGTACTGAGTGTTTTGTTGGTGTTGTTAGTTTTACACGCCCCGTGGAAGCCAACCAAGAGAGGAAAAGTGCCAGGTCCACAGCCTCAAGGCTGGAAAGTGGCAGGCCTTGGACTTCAGTCAGGTGTCCTTCGGTCCAAACTTTGTGCTCCAATGTCTGCCTCTTTTCTACTCTACAGGAAGTCCCCTTGTTTGCACTTGTTCAGTTAATAAACAGTTCCTGAATACCTGCTGTGTGCTAGGCCCCACGCTGGGTGTTTTCTGAGTGACAACTTAGGAGCTTTTCAGTAGGGGATGTGGGAGAAGCTAGAATGTGAACATTGGTGTGAAATCCTCTGGGCTCAAATTCCAACCTCTTCAATTCCTTGTTACGTGATATTGCTAAATTCCTAACTTCTCTGAGCCTGTGTCTTCCTCTCAACAACAACAACAACAAATAAACAAAAAAAACAAACAAGGAAAAGACCTCCCAGCAAATAACTAAGGTCTTGCACTGGCTCAACACTTGATGGTGGTGGTAGTTATGTGCCATTGAGTTGGTCCCAACTCATAGCGACCCTGTACAGGGTTTCCGAGGCTGTAAATCTTTACCGGAGCAGAAAGCCTCATCTTTTTTCCCGCGGAACAGCTGGTAGTTTCGAACTGCTGACCTTGTGGTTCGCAGCCAGATTCGTAACCATAGGAGTCTTCCTTATTTTCATCATTACACCTTTGGAATAGAAAAATCAGTCGTGCATATGGTAGTAAATTCCTCCCCCTTGCAAATGTAGCCAGGACCCTGTTCCCCTCTTTTATGCAACAGTTACCAACTTCTTGTGTGCATATTACTAGACCCACGTTCTTTTCCATAAAATAATAGCACAGACCAACGTACGGTGTTCTTTCTACTCCTTTCTGTATTCATCTAATGCACTGCATATGTATCTTGAAAGTCATTCCGTATTAGTGCATTCCATATTTTTTCTTTTCACAACAACAATATAGATATAGGTAAGGATGACGGAATATTATCAGTCTGAAAACTATGAGGACGGCGGAACCAGCAGCAGAGCGGGAGTCTAGAATCCCGATTCCGCCCCGAATTCTCTCAGTTACCTGGGCTTTATTTCCCCCCTCGAACGACAGCTGGAAGAGGAATGCAAGTGCAAACAAGACCAGCCCGGCTGGTCCCCAGCGTTCGAGTGCAGATTAGAGAGAAGGGCACATAATTTATTCCCGTTGGAGGCGCACCGCCGGGCTCATCTCTCCGCACAGCTACTCCGCTACACCAGCAGCGAACATCTAGACACACACTATCAAGCTGAGGACCGTTACCAAACCCTTCCGGCTTCAGCATCTCGACGCTCAGGCTCTAGCTACTCACCCCGCCTCGGCTGCTTCACCCAGCGTCCTCAGTCGCGCTCCAGAGGTTACAATCGTCCCTATCCCTTTAAGGGGACCGAATTCGGACTTTGCTACTTCCGCCCCGAAGCAACATGGCGCCTGTAGGGGGATGGGTAGGGGTGTAGGCGCGGAGAGCAGTCCCCCCACAAATATGGCGACGTCCTAGCTGCCGCGTTCGTGCGCCGGCGGTGACGTCACATCCGGGGCGGAGGAGCCCGAGTGGTGCAGTGAGGGACAAACAAAAGGAGGCGCCGGAGGAGCGCGGCGGCGGGCGGTGGGACAGAGCGGCGGGCTGCGGGGGCTGCCTGCAGGGCAGCCTGGTACGGCGAGTCCAGGTAAGTGGGTGAAATAGGGAAAGGGGCGCGGGCTGTCAGCTCTGGAAAACAACTCATAAACGCCCCCGGACAGCTGTCTAACCCTAGGTGCCCTGGACAGCGCCTGCTCTGTCCGCTGGGTGGGCTCCCTAGTGGCTTCCCGTGGCCTCTCGATCCGGTTTACCTTGGGTCTCCAGGGCCCCACGCTGGCACCCCAATGCTCCTTGCCTTTCACGTACTGGAGTTTCCGCCTTGGCTCTCATGCCCCCTTGTCACCCCTCTGGGCTCCTTCTAGAGCCTCACCCCTCCACACACACACCCACCTTCCTAGAGGTTTTGAAACCTCTGTACTTTCTCCTTGCCAATTCTTTTTCGTCTTCAAATATATGTACCTGTTATCTTTTTCTGGGCTCCTGGCTCCCTGCTTTCTTGAGCAGACTGGGGCAATGCCTTGACTTGGGAGTAGAATCTCTAGCTAGGCTCTTGGGGCCTGCCTAGGTAAGAGTTCCAGGGAAGACAGGCCCCCAACCTTGCCCAACCTTGTCCTGAGCATCCATATGGGCCTGAGAAGTCTGGGACAAGTCTGGCTATAGTTGGCTCTCAGGCTGAAAGAACATAGCTTGGGGGCTTTAGGGTTCATGATTATTCTGCCCCTCCCCTTGGTCTGGGCTGGTTTTCAGCGGATGCAATTGCTACCTTTTTTGGGAAGGAGGAGAGATGGGTCGGGGGTTGTCTGGCAGCTTTGTCCTGGCTGGAAGGGTGGAGTGGCTCCTTGGTAAGCCACACTTCCACTGACTGCTGCTTCAGGAAGCCTTTTGTGGATAGGGTGTAGAGAGAAAAAAGTATGAGAAAAAGGATTTGGCCTTAAATTGGGGAGGAGCCTCCCAGAGTCTTTCTCACCTTTTCCATTAGGGAACTCTTAATCTCTGTCAAACTGGAGCAGACAAACTAGCAGACAGTTTGTAGGAAGGTGGGAGTGATCTGATGTTGGAAATACTTCCTGTGGAGGAGAGGGGAGAGTGGAAGTCTGTTCAGCAGGACTGGATTGGGCAGTGCTGGTGGCTCTGTGGAAGAAACATTACCTCTGTGAAGGTCAGGTCTTCCCCAGCCTCACAAGGGGAAGCAAGGACAGATGGCTTGTGCTGGAGGACAGGCTGTTGGGAAGATGCTGGGATGTGAGGGACTATCCTTTGCCTCCCTGTCCTCCCAGTCGTAGATATTCTTTGGAGTGGGGCCTAATGCCACTCTGTCTTCCAAGGATTATGGCGATAGACCTGGGGCCTAGAAAAGATTGTGAATCCCCCTAAAACTCAGCCAGATGAATTTGTTTTCCATCCTTTTGGCACAACCACCAAGAAGCAGTTTTCTCTGCAAACATTGAGTAACTTGCTACCTAATAGGGGCTCCTGAGAATTGTCCTAGTGAGGCAGAACTTGGGGACCTGGCCTGGCCTAAACCTCACCTGCAGGAGTTGGAGGGAAGGAATCAGCCTGGTCCCTAACTTATCTGAGAGTGGAGATGACTCTAGATTTTCACATAGGGATTCTGAAGCACAGGATGATGAGCCAAGACCTCATGGGGAGTTAGGTGGGATTGATGGAGGGTCCTAGAGCCCAGAAACTTCAGCTATTTATTTCTGAATGATTGGTTGATTTACTCAACTGTCTTTTAGTAAGTGCTTTTCCTGAACCAGGAATGGTGCTGTGAAAACAGATGAATAAACAGTAGTCAGGGAGGAGAAGCAGACAGGAACACACATAAGTTCTGATATAGTGTGGCCAGTGTCATATAGAGATATTACAGATATAGCTCAGAGTTACAGAGGGCTTGTTGTTGTTAAGTGCCACCAAGTCAGTTCTGACTCAGCGACCCTGTATAGGGTTTCTGAGGAGCAGCTGATGATGGGTTAGAATCGTGGACCTTCTGGTTAGCAGTCCAGTGCTTATCCTATAGTACCACACCAGGACTCCACAGAGGGGTTGTTATTGTCCTTAAGTGCCATCAAGTCGGCTCTGACTCAGAGTGACTGTGTCTAGGGTTTCCAGAGAGTGGCTGGTAGGTTTGAACCACTGACCTTGTGGTTCAAACTGACCTTGTGGTCGAGTGTTTATCCTACAGTGCCACACTACGACTCCAACCCAGGGGTTATTGTTGTTAAGTGCTGTCGAGTTGGTTCTGAGGAGCAGCTGTTGGGTGTGAACCGCCAACCTTATGGTTCACAGTCCAGTGTTGATCCTATAGCACCACACCAGGAGTCAGCTCTGGGTAAATATGCAGGAAGTGGTCAGAGTAGACTTCCAGGAAGAAGGAGTAGAAAAATCAGTGATAGGGAATCTGGAGGCCCAAGTCTGGTCCTGACTTAGCCATGAGCAATTAACTGGACTGCCCATGTAGGTGTTTCCATCCTTGCTGTGAAGGGCAGGACGGGGTTAGAGGTTGTCTTGGATGGCCTCTGCGCATTTACATTTGTGGTACTTTACTGCCTAGTTGCCCTTACCTGATGTGGAATTGCTGGGTTAGTGACCTGTCTCCCTATGAGACTAGAGCCTATATTCCACTTTTATCCTCTCCGTTCAGTGCTTGGAGTTAAGTAGGTGTAATAAATGCTCAGTGTTATAAATGATTGAAAAACTTCACAGTTCCTCTTAGATCTGCTTTGTGCCCTTTCTCTGGGGAGTCCCCTCCCCTTTGCCTGGTTAACTCTTGCTTATCCTTTGACTATGCTCTATTTCTAGATCTTGACTCATTTATATGTTCCTTCATTATTCCTACAGCTCCCGACGTTACCTCAAGTCTAGTCCAATCACTATCCTTTTCTTGCAAATGTACTTTGTTTGTGCTTGTATCCCCAATTTTGGGCAGAATGCTAAGCTTATAGTAGATGCTCACTCAATGCTTTGCCTAGACTTAGTCCGCCCCATTACAGCTCATCTCTTACCACTTCCTCCCTCTAGCCCTAGATCTAGGATCAGTCTGAACCAGTCAGCATTATCTACCTGTCCTGTTCTGTCCCCTCCAGGCAAGTATGTGCTGTTCCCTCTGTCTGGAATGCTCTTCTCCAACTCCTACTCTCCTTCAGGAATCAATTCAGACAACACCACTTCCAGGAAGCCTTCCCTGACCCCACTTGTCTGGGTCTGGTGCTTCGATGTTCCCATAGTTCCTGAGATCCACCCAGCAGAGTCCTGGGCACTCAAAATTTTAATTGTTGACTTGGCATCTCCCCAGTAGTCAGAGCTCCAAGAGGCAGGCACCTTGCTTGATTCATTCCTATCACCCCAGAGCCCAGCCCAGAGCCTGGGCATCAAGCAGGCACTCAGAAATGTCGGTAGCACAGCAAGTACATCTGCAGTAGTCACACAAATCCCAGTTGACAGTGGCTCTCACTTCCTCATAGGGAGGCAGCTTCCATGGAGCGAAGGGAATGCCAGAACCCTGCCCTGACAGATGTGGGCCAGCCTCAGCACCGACAGCCAACGCTCAGATAGCAGAGCCGTCCTCGGGGTAAGAATTGGGCCCCTCCCTACCAGGCCAGCTATGGCCTCTGGTCAGGTGCCTTACCCAGCCTGGGGAGCAGAGCAGCATCTCTGTCTCCACATTCCTTTGTTCTTCTTATTATAGGCCAGGAGATTCAGGATAGAGGTGACAAAAGACAGAGTTTGTCCTCTTCCTCCTGACTCAGTGGCCAGTAGAATAATACCTCGTTGCTGTACCCTTTGAATGCCAGTGTTAAAGTTTCATTGGGAATCTCTGTTTTTTCTCTCTCACCCAAGATCTTATCAGACTGAGTTGTTAATATGCTGCCTTTGACCACATTCCCAAGGTGTGTTCCGTGGAACACCAGTTTCTTTGGCCACAGTGGTCACGTAACTCCGAAAAACAGCAATTTGTTGTTTTCCTTGTTGCAGGATGCTTCAGTGCCTTCAGTGTGTTAATATGAGCATGGGAGTCTCTATGAGGGAGCTAGCAGATCAGTGTTTCCCACACTTTTTTGATCCTGTAGGCATCTTCGGAGACTCGGGTTCCTTGGTCTATGCTTTGGAAAAAGGTTCCAAAGGCAGGAGGGTGCACTGGATATAATCCAGATTCTATAGTCAGACCTAGGTTTGAGTTCCGGCTCTTAAAGTGCCTGCTGAGTGACAGTCATTGTACCTTTCTGAGCCGTAGTTTCCTCATCTATAAAAAGAGAGATAGAACTAGAACAAAAAAAAAAAAAAAAGAGAGAGCGTGATAGTACATACCTCCTTTTGGAATGTTTTGAGGATTGAATACACTAACATATGTAAGGTTAGAGAGTGTTTCCTAATCATAGCTGGTGTGTGTATGGTGGTGGTGGTGGTGGTGTGCCATGGAGTCGGTTCCAACTCATAGAGACCCTGTATAGGGTTTCCGAGGCTATAACTCTTTATGGGAGCAGAAAGCCTCTTCTTTCTCCCTCGGAATCGCTAGTAGGTTTTGAAACTGCTTACCTTGAGGTTAGCAACCCAACTCATAACCACTACACTACCGCTCATTAGAAAGAGGGTAGACAATAAGTATAGCTGCTAGATTGGACCCCGCTGGTGTGTGTATAGACTGCTTTATAATTTGCAAAATACATGCACATCAATGATCTCATTTGATTGTTTGAGGAAGCCATTATCTCCTGTTTAGAGATACAGAAACTGAGACTTGCAGTAAGGAAGCAGCTTGCTCAAAGTCATCAGGAAGGAAAACATGGCACTTGAACCCAAATTTCTGGTACCCTGGATCAGACCAAGTTGTTCTCTGCCTGGAACCTCACCTCAACTTTTTGTGAAGGAAAGTCTGAGCCTCCCTAGCCTGAACTCGCAAAGTGTAATCGTATTGTTTGGGGTTGTTACCAACCTAGTTGCATGTTCACTCTATGTTTTGATGTTTGCATTTTTAATATAACTTAGAAAGTAAAAGTCTCCCATGATCCTGTCTCCAGAGATGATCGCTGTGAATGGGCAGGGGCATATTCTTCCACATCTATTGTTACTGTTTATTTATTTTTACAAAACTTGGGTCACGTTAGAACTTCCGATTTCCAGCTTGCTTTTGTTTCATTTAATGGGACCTGGGTTATCTTTCCCAGCCAAGAGGTAGGTCTATGTGTGAGTCCTGTAAAAACATCTTGGGGTCTCTCCCATCTCCTCACTATGTGGGGGTTCTTGAGCTGTTTGTCCAGACATTTAAAGCAGCAGAGGGAGGTGGGAAATGCCTGGTATGTATGTGGTTTTGTTGACTCTTGTTTATTGGGAGAAGATTAGCAAACTGGGTCCTGCCCTGTGTGAGTTTCCTGTTGATTTTTAATAACTCTGCCCCCACCCCACCCCCGCCGCCTTTGCACTCCCTCCCCCCACCCCCACCCCCAGTCAAGTAGTTCTCACTAAGCAGTGATGAATAGGAAGTAGTAAGTCCTACTTGTCTGAGATCAGAATTCCTTCTCTATGCCAAGAACGGCTCAGAGGGAACAGCATAGATGGCCACCTCCTTTGAGGACACATACAGAAAGTTTTGAACTGACTTGAGTCTGGTCCTTCCCAGCCCTTCAGGAATAAGATGGCCCTGACTCAGTTCACCCATGTAGTTCCTGGAGGAAATCTTGGTCTTCATCCTCTTGGAATGGTCCTTTCAGGTATTTGTCTTGAGGGTGAGTAGACAGGGAGAAAGGGAAGAGCCCAGTGTGACTTGGGTCTAAAGTTGCTCTTTGGGAGACTTCCAGATGATCTGTGAATGGGTTTCAGCAAGGAGAGATTTCATTCTGGCCTGCTCAACCTTGTTTTATGTAGCCACGAGAGCATTGTGTGACAGGATAGAGGCTGGGAAGGAGGCTTTTGCTGAAGTTTCTGCTGTTGCGTCTCACTTGGTGGTTTCCTCAGGCTTCCTCTCTTCCCTCTCCCACTTGTCTTTTTCCAGGAATTATGTATCTAGCTGGTGCTCAGCTTTCCTTCCTAGCCCGGAAGCAGAGCCTTTGCATCCCCTAGTCTCCTAGAGTGACTATGCTGCGAGTATTAGGGGCTGTACTGCATTCACTCACCTCAACCTGGCCACAGACTTGGATAGAAGTGAGTTTTGCTATTTTACAGACCAGAAGACCTAAACTCAGAGGACCCAAGTCTCTGAACAACTAGGTTACAGAGCCAGGACATCAGCTCAGATATGATTGCCTTGACCGCCTGTGCTCTTCCTACCTTATCTTCCATTGCCTGCTCCTTTTCCTCAAGGTTCTCAGGGTTGGGGGTGCATTAGAGTCACCTGGGGAGCTTCCCTAAAATGCGATTTTCCTGGGATCCCACTACCTCATAGGGGCTGAGTCCCCAAATCTGTACTTTGAAGAAGCCCCCAAACAGTCCTGAGGCCAGTAGTCTGCAGACCACTCTGAGAACTACTGTCCACAAGGCAGTTCATTCAGCCCTAGTCCCCACCTGTGACAAAGGATTCCAGAACTGGCTCCCTTAGTCTGGAATAAAGCAGAGCCCCAGCACCTCACCCAGGATGAGGGGTTGTTAGCATGTGTGGGGGAGTGGGGCTGAGGTTTCCAGAAGGACTTTTATTCCCCGTCACAATTATCCCCTGCTCTTCTTGGATATCTTTCCTGAAGTGTTTGCTACGAGTAGCAAACAAGTTCATCTATGTTAAAACATCTCTTGAGGGCTTTAAACCTCAAAATTAAATAGACTGCTGCAATATAGCCTCACACCTAGAGTGATGTTCCACCAGAGTAACAGTGGCTATAACATTCCACATCTTTCACATGCCACCTGGACACCCTCAGAGGCACTGCTGCCAAGCCCTCGCTCTCTGATGGAGTCGGGAAGGTGCTGACTGGCATTAGTAGTGAGGGAGGGTTTGGGAATCCTGGCTTCAAGGGTGGGCCATTGCATCCCTCAGCTGGCAGCCACCCTCCAGCCCAGAGTGGGACATTAGGCATCTTACCCTTGGCAAGGCCCTCTTGCCTGGCAGGGCTTGGCCAGTGCCCAGTCCTCTGGGATTTCTGGATGTGTCTGCAGCCTTTCTTGATGGTTCCTGCCCACATTTCATAACCTGTCTGGAATGGCAGCGCTAGGGTTCAGAGCAGATCAAGACCTGCCTCCCATGCCCCTCTTCTATCCACCATGCCCCTCCTCCCACTGACCCACTCCTGACACCTGTCTCCTGGGCACAAACCCAGAGCTGGGCTCCCTTCCACATATCCTTAAAGCTGTACCTAAAACATCAGAGATACCTGAATTTGGCCTGCAGGTTCCCTGTTTACAGGTACCCTCAAGGAAAGGGAGGTCTTGGGAAACATCTTTAGGGATCTGGGTGCCCAGTAAGCTCAGGAGGTCTGTTTGCCTTTAAGACAATGGCACAATGGAAAGTCAAACCTGAGGTAGATCTTCCCTACCGTCCTGTAGCTGTGTGGTCTTGGTCAAGTCACTTCACTTCTCTGAACCTCAGATTTTGGATTTTGCACTCTTAAAGGAACCTTTCAAACCTACCATAATCATACAGCAGCTGACATTGTAGAGTCTAATTGTGCAGTAGGCATTGTTCCAAAAGCTTTTTCTTCTCCCCATTCTTGTTCAGTCCTCCAAGAATAGACTTGTCATTCCATTTTACAGATGCAGAAACTGGAGCCTGGGGAGGCTGAGTGGCTTTCCCAAGGCCACACTAGTAGAGCGGGGGCGCCACCTTCCTGGTTGGCATGGGGATTAGGCACTGAGGCAGAGGAGGTGCTGGCTTCATAGTGGTGTTCAGTACCTGGGTGCTCTGTTATTCTGGTGGGTGCCGGGAGGCCCCGAACCTGGTCTGCAGCTGGCCTGCTTCCTCTATGTGCTTGACTGGAGGACCAGGTGAGAAAAATCTCAGGTGGGTACCTCTCATTTGTCACCATTTTCCCTCACCTACCTGGAAGGCTGGCTACGCCCTTGCCAGTTGCATGAGGATGAACCTGTTTGGGAGGCCCAGCCCAGATATGATAGCTGGAACTGAAACTTGCCCTTCCCCCATCTTCCTCCCCCCATGGAGGGTGTGTGTCTGTGGGAGAGGGTGTGTGTTTATGCAGGGGAGTGTCAATCCAGACAGCACCCCTAGCCCTGGTTTCTGACTCACCCAATGGGGGATGGGTGTGGAGGCCTAGAAGGCAGTGCCCACTGTGAGGAGGGGGCACTCTGTATGTCAGATGATGGGGGAGACCTTCTGTACTCTTCTCGGCTCTGGGACTAAGGAAGCATGTGATCCAGGGTGCACTGACCTCAGAGCAGATTCACAGGCTTGGAGCCCTCCCAGGGGGTGGCCAATGACCCAGTGTCTTCTTAGGAAAGGCCCTTCCCCCTTCCCTGGGAGAATGTTAGAAGGACAGCCTTCCCATCTGTGGGACAAGGAGGAGTGTACCAGCCATCCCCTCCCTTCCTGCCTAGGAAGTTTTCTCGTGTCAGTCTGTTTGCTCTGTAACAAAAGGCCCTCTGTGCCCTGTTTACCGGGTCACCCACCCCTGCCTGCCGTCACTCAGGTGT